CTAATAGTGCCGGTCTGTACTCTGTGATTAGGAGGAGTATCGGAGCGAGATGTCTATGTGTCTTGAATTGTCCCTGAAATGATACTTTATCTGAACAATAGAGTCGGAATTCAGGGGTGTTTGTTGCAGGATGTAATGCATATAGCGCTCACTTTGGATGCATTGATACTGTTGCGTAAGGGACCTCCCCGGATAACGATCCCTTCAGTGATACAAAAAGATTCCGAAACTAGGAATTCATTCGAAAGAAAGATAATGACCATTTTCCTGGATGAAATGAACGTTAACTTTTTTTGGGAATAATGTAGCTTGTTTATCTTACACACACTCATCATTCCTCGAAATATCTATGTCTTTCAGAATATTAATGTTATTTATGACAATTCATCGAATTACTCGCATACTTGCGTTATTATTAGTGGTGCATGGAGCATTAACAATGGAAAAATGAAAGCCGCATATGCGTGGCAATAAAAACTACGTGAATCTCCTACTAACAAATGGGAATGCGTTTCTGGCATGGTTTATGACTGATTTCAACGTCATAAAAATATCTATGGTGCCGATATGTTCGCGAATAATGAACGTCCATTCTCCCATGCATATACAATTCCCGTAAAACTGAAATCTTATAATTCACTCTCAGTCCATTCATTATAGAAATTACAATATACCATTGAGAATATGGAGCGAATAATCTGAATCATTTTGTATACATATTATAAAATATGTTGATCATCCCAAAAATGTTTTCAGATTGAACAACTGAAAATACAACTTTTAGGTCTCTTCTATTTCCTTCATATCTACCTTCGTTATGGAGAAAAAAAATGAAGCATTATCATGAACATAGGGAACAATGATTTTATATGAATATCTAAAAACCATCTCACCCAGTTGTCTCAAACTTGGTACTCACTTTTATACTCCTTCTGTTTCGAGCTGGTAATCAAATTTGGCTCAAAATCAGTAGAGGGGTGTTTTTTTAACATCATTCCATAACTCTGAAATTTCGTTCCATCGTTAGGATACACCCTGTATATTGGAGACTAGGAGCATTAATTCCATATTAGGCTAATTTTTTTCAAAAGTGTTGAGAAATACTTCGAATATGATCAATGGATAACTCATGCATTCAGTGGGACTATTGTCACAATAATAACAGAATGTCGTTGTGAAATATGTGAATATTGGAGTGAACAAAATATATTCATGATAAAATCCAAATTCTCAAACGCGTGAGTGTTTTTTTCATTGACATCTGAACAAGACGGCATTCGTGGTGGAATCAACCAATGTCTCATTCATTGCCTCACTTGCTCAAAAATGGGTCATGTAGGTTCGATGCAGCGATTTCCTGCAATGAAATGGTAGTGCGATTGTGGATCATAATGACATGTTCCGGCGACTATCTCGTATGTTGAGTGCCCCGAGCTGGTCTTCAGCCAGTATATCATATACCGGTCCCCACGCCCACTTTAAACAACGTCGTTACCCAACAACAATAACAATTTGTTACGGGAATAGCGCACGTCGTATAATAAGCCGAAGAGATCGGGCCAGATCTCAGAGTGATAAGATCCAGCACTTTACTCCACCAGAGAAAGAAGGAGGCCGTGCCATCCCAACGAAGAGTCAGCAGTTGGGGAGGGGGAGGGGTTAGAGCTAATCAGCAGTTTACGATTACTAGGTGTCGAACTGATGGTATCTTTGGTGCTGAGAATGGGGTTTTGATGATTGTTCCGTGATATTCGATCCAAATGGAATCCTCCAGAAGCTATCAGTAACACGACCGAGACCGAGATTCCCCCGATATCGAAGACATTTTTGCATATTCGGGGTCATACCTATATGTCGTTGGTATGATATTATTCAGTATCTAAACCCGTATTTTTCCCAGCTATTCGATGAAGAATTTTGGACAAGATACACTTATACCTTCTTGAATCAAGAACCATCTTGATCAAGTGTACATTGGATTTGATCTATAATCCAAACGATATTCTGGGACTGTCTGTACTAGATATCAATAAGTCAATGAAGCAGAAGTTGAAGAGAAAGTTTGATCGGTGAGAAGTGTGAGGACATATCAGAGAAATATGATCGGTCACCTTTTATATAAATGGAGTTGCAAACTCACCATGTAGATACGTCTCTTTTGTAAAGATATAGGTACTCTCTTCGTGGTGTAATTCGGCAATCAACTTCATTTTCGTGAGTTACAATCGATACAATGATGATGAATTATTATTATTTATGCCCACCAATGATTATTCACCTAATAGATAGGTACTGTTTATTAGCTACAAATTGGTATGTTATCTCGTTGTAATTACAATATTGGCTTTCCTGTATTACAATGTATTAAGGTTGAAATTAACTGGATTCGTATCGCAATTGAGATTCAAGATAGTCCCGTATCTGATTTCATTATTAATTCAATAGCAATTTCTAACTTAATCGACATTCGATATGTATTGAAAAGGGTATCATACTTGAAATACCGTGCATCAATATCAGTAGTTTGTAGAAGGTCAACATATTTATTATATATATGGTATGAAGCAAATACGGGGTGTTCAATTCAAAACCATGCAAAGATGCACATGCATCCTCAATAACCTCAGGTAGCAGAAGTTAGATAGGTTAAACGTCATAATAACGTCTCATTCGAGTACCCATATATTGGTCCATGACGTCCTCGACTACAATAATTGAATCTACTAATCACGTCATAAACTACTGGAAGTAATAATGGAGTCCATCCAAAGTGAACTTTTTTTATAGAATCGTTCAGAATTCATTCATTTGAATGTCATTACCCACTTTTCGATCAGTCAATTCAAAATGGTACCAACAAAAAAGTCATCATGGCTATCAATTAAAAATGAGTAAAAATTTGAATCTTGAAGATCTGAGAATGAAGCTGATTCGTTATTGGTTTCTACTAGTTCTCAAATGATAGCACTATAACCATTTCCTAATGATATATATTAAAAACTTTATTAATTCCTGATATCACATCACTTCAGCTATTGAGAAAATAGTATCTCGTTTCTGATTCAAATTGAGAAAACAACGATTCAGTTCTCGAAGGGCATGATGAATAACTTTTATCGATCTCTACTACTTTCGAGATACGATATAAATTATGTAAATTCGAGAGATACAACATTAATCGATTTCAGAGTTGAAACGCAAGAAAAATGAAATATTTTATCAAGACATGAACGATATTCTCCATTCAACTCGAGATCACACGGTAGCCCTTTTCGATTTTCAAACAGTATTTTGTATTGCCTTGTGATTTATACTAATTGGAAATAGCTCAACTGTCAGCCGCAAGCGCTATCCACCAATTAATTGAACGATTTCGTAACCACATATTTTCTTCATCTCTCTTCTCATCGTTAAATCAAAACAAAGAAAAACTAATGGGCTCAATCAGAAGCTCTTCTACGTAGAAAAAAAACGTGTTAGTTGGTCATAAATCACTTTAGTTTTCAGTAGCTAACATTTTACTCACAAAATGCTATTAGTCGAAATTAGTTTTTGGATTTATTGTTTTTCTCATTAGGCACAGGAAAGTGAATAATATTCGAGTAAATTATGATAAGATGAGTGTAGGTCAGAAGAGTCCATTCATAATATTGGTGAACCCACGCACTTTAACGTTTCAAGTACCCCCATCTAAAAGGTGTATATGATGAATAATCTGTGCTTATTATAGCTATAAATGAACTTCCAATATCTGTTGACTCGAGTTTCAACCCTATATGCAATAATATGGTACTAATCAGGAATATATATATAAAATAATAATATTAGTTAATAAATTAATCAATAAGTTCCGGAAATTTCCATGTATCTATGGTTGCTGAAGAACAACTGTACCACTAAAAGAATTGACAGAGTTGAATTGCCTTTAATGTTAGGCCTGAAGGAATTGAAGAAAATAAAACTACCTCTGCCCTATATATATTTTATTGCATGCATATGCATAGGAGATGTTTCCTCCTCTTCCCCACAGAACCTCCATTCGTCTTCCTCTTCTAATCAGAGCTTTCTAAAATGTATCATCCGGCAGTGCCCTGTAGGACCGTACGAAGTTCATATTCACTAAGGCTGATATATATGCGGTCGATCTTTTGTGGGTATATGTTTTCAGTAGTATCTTATTCTTTCTGAAACCTTGAAGATTTTTCCAGATGTGTGATCTCTGTTTAGCCCTTTCTTTTCTGATTTCTCCTCAAACAGTACTGATGCTGATTTCGCAGATGGTGACTGTATTTCTTTTGACTAGCTCGTTCAGCTTTTCTCGGCATTCCCAAACCATATCAAAGCTGGCAACCATAAGAGCTCAGCACTTCAATGGCTGTTTGACTATCGAATATAATAATGATATCTCGTCTTTCAGTTGTGTCTTCGGTTTTGGAGCCATCTGTGCCTTTGCTCTGCCCAAAGAAAGACATATAAACTATATCCAGAACACCTGAATCGATACATTCTAGCACCTCATCAGATGTCTCATGTCTCATGTCTTATCAATTAACTCTGCAGAAGAGGTACTTTTTCTACGGCCTACATACAATACGTAGGGTCATATCAACAACTGGAATAGGTGACCAATTTCATGTGGAGCCTAGGATTCCATACTGAACTCACTCAAATTTTCTTCAATCATTTTGAAATGTGTATCCTAAACAAAACGAATGTATATCTATGAGCTGCAACCGCGAGCTAGAGTCCGACCACGATAACTTTGGGACAGTACGTGGTCGCGTATGCATTGAATATGCATATGCGTTGCGTCACATGCTGTCCCAAAGTCAACGTGGTCGGACTCTACCAACTGAAGCAGTATTGTTTCACTCAACTAACTAGCAGTTGTCCAGCTCGAAGGGCAGTAGATAAAGATGCACTATTTCATATTCTCACATCCCACTCATAATCATCATCTTGAATCCATCCAACATCTGAACATACTTTTCTTGTTGCAGGTCAACAGGCCTCTGACGATGAAAAAAGAAGGCATCCAAACAAGAAACAGAAAACTCTCCTCCAAGAGCAAAAAGAAGAAGAGTGGCTCGTGCCTCTCGCTGGGCGGCATGATGGGCGACATGATGAAGCCGCTGGACGGCTCCAAGGGCGGTTTCGGCGCGGGTGGCTTCGGCGCGGGCATGGGTGGGGGCCACCCGCACCTAAACGCCGCCCTGCACCCGCACCACGCGATGAGCCACTGGTACCAGCACCAGCACCCGCAGGGGTTCGTGTCGGGACCGCCGCCGCCTGCGCCGCCTCCCACTGCGTCGTACCATCATCATATGAGTTCGTTGAGCGCGGCCGGGTTGGGCCTGACGTCCAATGGGATGGTGAGTACCACTTTCCGAGAGTTTTTCCGAAATATTATGAGCGACTAGGCAGTCAACGTCTCGCACAGTTAAAAGAATATATATACATGCAATTCCACAGTACAGCACACAGAGCACACCATCAAATGATTGAGGTGCTCTGAAACGCACTGGACTCCGTTTGTGATTACCCCTTAGTGTATGAAGTACGTTTACACCCATCAGTGTATTGAGTCCGTTTATAGGGACGCACGTTCATGACCTTACCTTGAGACGTTTAACATAACCAACCTGTTATTTCGTTTTTGAAGTTATGTTATGTTGAAAGTGTTATCAATTCATAAATAGTAGTAATTTTAGAACAACAGTTTTTTAGCACAGAGCACACCATCAAATGATCGAGGTGCTCTGAAACGCACTGGACTTCGTTTGTAACTAACCCATTAGTGTATTGAGTCCGTTTATAGGGACGCACGTTTATGACCTTACCTTGAGACGTTCAACATAACCAACCTGTTATTTTGTTTCTAAAGTTATGTTATGATCAGATAATCGATTGCTAGTACGATATTCTGTTATTCACTAACTGTTTTGTGTTGAAAGTGTTATCGATTCATAAATAGCAGGAACGGCGGAAAAGCTTGTAATTTTTTTGCATACATTTCTCTGAATTTTATAACAACAGTTTTTTAGCACAGAGCACACAATCAAATGATCGAGGTGCTCTGAAACGCACTGGACTTTGTTTGTAACTAACCCATTAGTGTATTGAGTCCGTTTATAGGGATGCACGTTTATGACCTTACCTTGAGACGTTTAACATAACCAACCTGTTATTTTGTTCTCGAAGTTATGTTATGTTGGTATGTTTTGTGTTGAAAGTGTTATCAATTCATAAATAGTAGGAACGGCAAAAAAGGTTAATTTTTTTTGCATACATTTCTATGAAATTTTCCACATGAGATTGAATCAGTTCAGTCCAGAATATGTGTAGAAGTGATACATAAGTACCAAAATTTGCCCGTCCCACTATTGTCTAAGATCATCCTTACACCGACTCCTACTAGTAATGAAAGATGAAGATTCGTAGGGAGGTGATATTTAGATGACACCTCCATGCTGTAGAAAGTGCGGAGAGACTGATTGAGAAAGTTCTGAATGTGTCTTTGAACCAAGGCAATGCATTGCTACTCCTGACTATCTATTCACTTGACACCTTGAAGATGATAAATGTATGTATTATCCAAAAAAATACTTCCGAAAGCCGATATCGTGAAAGCAGGAATATGTTTGTTAGAGATCTCCAAAGAGAGAAGAAGTCTTCTAATGTCACGTCAGCTGAGTTTTACAAGTTGTTCTTCGATCAAGAATTAGTTTTACAATAGTAGAGCAGACAAGTCTTTATTATAATATGTATAGAAAAACCTTTATTTGGTTCTGACTGGAAATGCACTATTCGTTACCTTTGGAGTACTCCCATCATCTGGATATGGAAAATATCTCAACAAACGGATGAACTGGTCATCAGAAAATGATGTATCCAAACTCCCTCAGAAACTATTTGTTAGTATTGGCATCTGTTTCTAGGGCGATAAACGGTTACACCCAAAATATTGTTTCATTCCATTTATACAATAACTGTTATGTCATGTTATCAGGGGTATAACGTCCCTTTTTTTATTCCTGATGAATTCTGACTAATTCTAGTTAATTTTTCAATAGAGAGTATTCTATCTATCATTAAAACGAACTTTACAGAGAGAAAACTCGAAAACAATTATTTCCGAACCTTGTACACTAATGAGTAAATTTCACGCAAGGAGTAGGTAGTGAATGATACATGCGTGGAGTCCCGTTGCTTGTAGGTATGTCAGAGGACATAATCTGTACAAGCTACGAGGCTTCACATAGGAATTATTAGCAACCTATTTCTTGAATCCTGTCTATTGTCAAAAAAATACAACACTTATCGCCTGCTCTGAAACCTACTTGGGTTTGTTATGTCAACGTGAAATCAATCATAAACAAAGGCTAATGCATTTCAGAGCACCATATTCGACGATGCGCTCGCTCTATGCTGTACAGGGGAATGGCTATAAGTAGCCCAGCCATAGCTCTGTGGCTTCCAGAGACCAGAATGTATTCAACATGCGCATCGTCTCAATCTCATTCTGATGAATAATATATGTATAACAATAGATAGACACCGCGAATCATCTATAACCGAATGTATAGGTCATTTAAAAGTATACGCCAACAATCCTAAACGCATATGAGTTCGTTGAACGCAGCCGGGTTGGGATGATGCCTAATGGAATAGTGTACCATTTTCCGAGAAACGCTTTTATGAACATGACATAATAAATCTTCAAGTAATATCTACTCTCTCTTTGCAGTTGTTATGAAACTCATTAATTTCTTATTGCGCCCACTTAGAAACTCAATAGTCTCCCCCATCTATATTCTTTGTTGAGTTCTGCGCTCTCATAATTTGCCGTTCTATGTCATCTTCTGTCACTTTATGTCAAAGTCATTCAATTGCCTTAATTTGTTGTTCAAGCCTTCGACATGAAGCACAAATTGTAGTTTTTTTCAATAATTAATCCGATTTTATTGAGTTTTTTAACATGTTCACAAATGTTCACTAACATAGGGAATCCGCATTCAATTGCGTTCTTCTTTTTGATTATTTAATGATTTCGAATTAATATGTAATAGTTGTTTTTACTAGGCAGAAGAGCACAAGATTCAATGCCGCGGTTGGCGTTTCATAGCCAATAAGGCCTAGTCCAGGCTAGGAAACCAGCCAAGGCATTGCATCTTCTTTTCAGTCATGTGAAACATGTAATTTTTTGCAAATTTGTTTCAATGTCACGCAAAGTCTGAATGATCCATCATTTTGTGTCCACCCAAAGTCATTGTCAATTTAGATAACCAATTTTTGATTAGCGTCATTACTTGGAACGTTGCAAAACAACACACTTTTTTTGCTTAGGCGCATGTAGCTATTCTAAGATTGTTCTTAAATCGTTCTTGTCATTCGGTTGCCCCTTTACGAGCCACCCTCAGAAGTCTTCAAGAGATTTGTGCAAGCAAGGAATGACGGGGACCTTTTAACTTGTGATCCCAAACACTTTCTTGGGCCATCAGGAAAATGTCTTAAAATATTCCATTATCCACCGGATCGCCATACTGAGACCTGACATCAGATTCGCTAGAACTGATAGGTACCTTTATTTTTTGTAATGTAAGAATTCCACATTCCACATGAAATTTTTGTACTTGTTTACATACGCTACATCAATTTTTTAGAATATTCTCGATAAAACAGGCCCCATTCTTCAGGGATATGCTGCAAAATTTTGGTACTTCTGACTTTGATAAATATAGGTGAGACTGAAAATGTTAGCCCTGATTGTCTGCCTTTTTGTGTGCGGTTGATTTTGTTAATCACTGTCAGCTGGTCATTTATTATTTTTATTCACGACTAATATATTATACTTGTGGTTTTTGAAGTATAATGCCATATATTAATCCCGCAGGGAATAAAGACTATTAATCCCTCGCCATTATTCCCTGCGGGATTAATATATGGCATTATACTTCAAAAACCACAAGTCTATATATTAGTCGCAAATAAAGTAGAGTATACTACTCGCAATAATGGCTATTATTCTCTCGGAATGTTACTCCCTCGCCGCTAACGCGGCTCGGTTCGTAAAAAATCCTCGAGAATAATAGCTATCATTATTGACTCGTGGTATAATCTACTATTGATTGTGATTTTGTTAATGATAGAGTTCTTATTGTTTCATTACATAACTCGAGTTGAATTTGCTTAAAAGGTTTGGCGCACTCTTGTCATAAATCGTTGTACAACATTTACAATTTAGGGGACATGCAAAAAAGTTTCCTCCAGGTTACTCGGTACCAATGATCTAAAAAAATGATATCTACTATCCGCCCTTGCCTTACTGTCCTGTATAAAGCATAAAAATTCACCTAAATGAGATGAAGGGCCATCGATGCAATAAAAACAACTATCTGAACTATCAGCTTTGTTGCCTCTCTCTCGTTTGTCGAATTCATTGGTTGGTTCTTCACATCTTTCTGCAGAATGTATAGGTCAAATGAATAAATATTGTTGGTCAAAAGAAAAAAAAAAAGAAGGATTAAAATCTAATGAAAATAACTTACAATGACACATTTTTACAATGTAATTAGCATGGTGGCAAAATTTGTACCCAACCATCAGCTGATTTCCTTGCGCCTTGGGTATCACTCTTACATTGTCGTCAATTCCCTGTCTGTCTGTTTGATATTATTTGATCTTTGGGAGGTACATATGTATATAGTAAATTCATCAGTCAGGTACCAGAAAGTTGAATTACGAAGAAGGAAAACTCTAACATATTGATAATATAGTCACATGAAGAATGAAGAATCAAATATTGTTCAAAACTTTAATACATCTGCATAGCAACATTTATTGCGATGAGGAAAGAAAATACCAATAAGGCATCCAAAACACTGTTCCCGAACGACTTAGTTAATCAATGGGTCCAAATTATTATTGAATAATTAATTAATAAATAATATAGGTTCAATATAGATATAATATAGGTATAACATGGGTATAAACTATAGGTAATATGAAGGTATATAGGGCATTCCCGAACTCGAATGTCGCTGCTGAGTCCCAAGATGAGGATTAGGAAACAATAATTTTGAACCGATTTTCTATGCTCTACCTTCTCCTAGATATATGCGTCTGTAGGCATTCGATGAGATGCATTATAGTTTCATTGAAAATGTCTTTTGAAATGCAAGCAATATATATCGGTTATGGATCGTTATATTTTTTACTAAAAGTCCGTCAAACTCGATTCCAAGTTGTGATTTTTCCTTGAAATCGGGTTCGAAATCTCAAATTACATTCCGTTTGAAAAGTTTGAATTCTCATGTCGCACATCTTATCTTATCAGTGTTTATGAAATAATAATATCATGTTTTCTTTTTGTTTCAGACTGGTTGGAGGTCAGAGTACACGTGATAAGCAGATTTAGTAGCCTTTCAAGGAATTTATTTATGAAAATCACTGTGGATATAGCTCTAAGGTTTAATACTTATACGTGATCTATGAGGACTCGTCAAAATGTTCGTATTAATTGTAAATTTTGTAAAGGACACTGATGTCAGAAACCTGACAGGTTTGTCTGTGTAAATCGAGGTGTAAATCAAGTACAAAAAAGGACCGTTTGTAATGTATTGTATATAGTTGTTAGTTCGTTTATTATAATTTTTATCAACTGTAGGTGACGATGTGTAAATATACTTAGTTGAAAATTTTAAAGACAATGTGCAATCATCACGATTATAGATATTTATATGGGATATTTGTGTGAATGAATCAAATTGGGTATTTCCGAAAAATATTTCAGAATGTTTTTCATTTCTGTCTACAAATTAATTGGAAGTCGAGAATATAAGCAGACAAATTAGCATATTTTCAATGATTTGATACAATTCTGAAATATTCCTCAGATGCGGCATATATAGACTGCAGATAATGTAAATACATAATTTTGTGAATTGTGAAAACGCCGACCAATTTTCAATTGAAAATTTCAAATTATGTGCATCATGATATATTTATTAATTGTCTTCAGACCCTAGATAAGTATAAAATACGTGCACAGTATTCGATTTACATTTTCACAACATTATCGATTTGATTGATATCAAATGTGCATTTATTACAATTGAAAGTATGAATCAGCTCGAAGTTATTCCACATACTGAATCGAATACTGAGCACTGTGACCGCCATGTTTATATTTTACAGTATTTTTGTTGAATTGATCCTATTTATTGTTTATTGTTCAAAACAGTGTATTGAGAAATCGTTCTAACCGATTTGTACACGAAATGCAATTCAACATAGAATAATTATAAAACCTTCAAAATGTAAATATAAAAATCGATGTATGTATATGCTCTTTGTGTGATATATAAAAATATTTAAACTTTACAAATGACTATCATTTCCCAACCTGGAAAAAAAAAATAGAAAAGCATCCAATGTTATATAGAAAGAAACCTGTGTCTAGAATAATGATCACCATGAGGTTACAAGGTTTTTGAAGCAAATTATGTGACTTACTAATTGAGATGCATCGGCACCACCAGAAAAAAGTCGAGGGAGATGACGTTGAAAAAAAATGGTTGGTAAGAAACGAGGGAAATTTCGTCGAAGGCAACATAATTTTTGTTTAAGGTCAGAAGCCTTCAATTTGAAAATTTAATTTCTGTCCGGAATCGGCAGATGCATGTTTTATGCATTCCATGTGGTGATAAATTAAAAATGGTATATTAGTATTAGTGAATATACCATGAATAATGAATATTCTGAGCATTTTTCTCATTGGTACACTCTGAGATCATAAATATGGAAATAACAACTAATAATGTAAAATGGTTGGACATTTGTTAGTGATATTATTTTTGACGCAACATAATGGTATTTCTGTCAGATCAATTATCAAAACTGCAAAACTCGAAACGTTTACCATTCAGACTTTGCGTCTCTTGGAAATGCAGAATGAAACTTTTTGATAGCCTAGTAGTGGGCGTTATGTTCAGTTGTTTTGCCGTCTGGGGTCTTAGATACGCTGAAATGTTGGAGCGTGTTCAAATGGTTTTCCTTGAAAGAAATTTACTTTTGCCTATTACATCACCTGACTATGTTGTCAGACTAGAAACTGGGAGAGTCAAATTGATTCACAATATTCTTAAGTTATGTCTGAATTGAATAACCAAAATATTTAGCATGGATGAAACCCGATTACCTATAAGATTTGTCTCAAAAGACAGTTCACTTTCACACTTGATAACTGTGATGAAAGGTTTAACTGGACACTGCAACTGAAAAGTGTCTTCACCTGTCTAAACTTACCTGACATTTGGTCCCAAATTGATCGTGGCTTCATAACTAGCCAAGAAATATAACTTATAATGCTAAAATTTCAAGAGAAGCAATTTCCCATTAATAAAACTATATAATAGATCTCTATACATATAGCTCTTATTATGATACTACTGTTGAAAGTACGAGATTGTTTTTTGTGATTGTCCCATATAATAATTGCAAAACGAACTTCATCTATTGAAGCATTCCCAATTCCCAACGAATTAAATAATTTGTATACAGGGTGTTTCAGAGTTGTGGTAACAGAAGCCTAGCGGAGACGCCTCTCAACAATATGATGAAAAAAACCGAAATTGAAACGTTAAATAAACATGAAAAGTTCAAAGTCACTTGCACAAAATACATAAATTTATTTATTTATTCATTTATTTATTTATTTCTTACACTGTTCTACAGGTTGCCTCATTTATAGAACAGAAGAGAACGACAAAACAACAACATATTTATGCATTGCATATTACATTATGAGTATAATGGATAGACGAAACAATATGACAAAATAATAATATCTTGACTATCTAGTTATTCACTGATGAAGGAGAAAAGAGATAAAAAAGTTTTGACATGAGTTATTCCACTGCTGAACAGATCTAGATTCCTAGGCACCAAGTAATATGTACTATACATCCTATACAAAGGTGAATTTTTATATATGTTGGTTCGAGGAAACTCCAAGTAGAATGTATCACAATTTCTGGAAGATAATCTCGGGATAATAAAATTAAATTTTTCCAACAAATCTGTACAGTCAATTAGATTGTTAACAAACTCATAAAGGTTCAGGATAAAGAAGTATCGCCTCCTTACGTGCAGGCTCACAAATTTGAAAGTTTTTAGAAGCTCTCCATGAGGTGTACCAATTGGAGGGTATGTACCACATGACCTGTAACTTAACAGTTTCAAAAACCGTCGTCGCAGACTCTTAAGACGATCAGTATTGTTCCGATAGTATGGGCTCCAAACAACCATGCATATTCAATCTTCGAACGTATAAAACAGTAGTAAAATTTCTTAAGTGTATCTATCTCTTAAAAATCACGACTGCTGCCAACTCTGAACCGGTATGATCGAAATGCAGATATCAGGATTGAGTCAATATGATCATTAAACGATATAGATTGATCAAATATAACGCCAAGATCTTTGAATGTTATAGGTCTCAGGAGAGAAATGTCACCAATTGAGTAATTGAATACGATTGGGTCCGACTTTAATTTGAAGGACATGAAATTACATTTGGCAGAATTCAGTTTTCATCTGTTATTGTAACACCATTCTACCACTCGACCCAGGTTGTCAGCAAGCTGTTGACAATCAACTATGTGATTCACGCCCCCATATAATTTCAGGTCTTTCGCATATAGCAAAAAGTTTACGTCAATAACATTACCAATATCGTTAATGAAAGTGTTGAAAAGCAGTGGCCCCAGATTGGAGCCTTGTGTTACGCCAGATGTTGCAAGATATTCGACAGACTTGTAGTCGTTCAACTGGACATATTCAAAGTTCTGTATAGGTAGTGAAGCGTTCCTGCACAATATAAGCACAATTCATAATTTAGGAAGGAAATACTTGCGACCTTATTCTTCTATACGAATCATTGCACAGATTTCGGGAAAGTTTTTCATCTCGTGACCTACAATTTCTTTCATTCATGAACTTTTGTGGAATTGACTTTTGCATTCCATTCCACTTTGAGCATTTTGGCTTTTTCGTAGTTCTCTTCATATTTCGTTGAGAGAAATTTGCATTTGGCTTTTGTAACCACAACTCTGAAACACCCAGTATATCTATCATATACAGGGTGTCCCAAAATTAGCATGCCAAACTTCACCAGCGGGTTTTTCGACCAAAAAAAGGCAGAAAAGTTCCATTGAACATGAGTCGAGAGATGTCACCTAAGAGAGCTACGGCCCCCTGAGTGGGGGCTTCGGAAGATGATATTTCTTGAATATTTCCGAAACGCCACGTGATGGAATGATGCACTTTGGTACAAGAACTGAACTTTCCAATGCGATGAACATGAAATCAGAACAGAGTTTCATTCAGGAGTGTATAATACAGGTAGTCCCAACATTATATATTGCACACATTTTTTCCTCTGCATATTTTTTGACAAATCAATCATAGATTATGAAAATCCACACCATTTCACAAAAAAAAGTGCTCTTGTTCCGCATCGATCAGATGTATCATTTTCGAGTGAAATCGATTTAAAAAATATTGATGCACTCACATATAATGCATAACGTTGCCAATTTCCAAATCGTAGTGGCTATAAAAAAATCAAGTACTTCTTTTTCACCAAACAACCTCATAAAAGCGCGAAAAATCGAAGAATTCTGATGAAGAAATTAATTCAATTTTTGTGCATTTTTTTCCATTTCCACTATACGCCTCATTGCAATGATATGCATAATATCTGAGATATAACAATATTTTTTTCCTACAAACGTCAAAAAATGACAAGGTTCGCGCATTGATAACAAATTGCGAAGTGACACTTTTTTTCAGTTTCCTACGTTACCATGATACGCCTCATTGCAATGATATGCATAATATCTGAGATGTAACAATATTTTTTTCTACAAACGTCAAAAAATGACAAGGTTCGCGCATTGATAACAAATTGCGAAGTGACACTTTTTTCAGTTTCCTACGTTACCATGATACCTTGCACATAACAATGCGCGAAGTAAAACAGTGCGCGAAGTACCTATTTCGCGCATTGTTATGTAAAATATATGAGATATTTATATTTCAACTTCATGATCCTCAATCGAGCAAACATCCACGAAATCATTTATTTCTGAATAATCAACAATAACTTTGTTTTATCTTTTTGAGCGCAAGAAAGGAAATGCCTATTATGTTCCTGGAACATCGTGCGTACCTAGGGAGGATAGGGGGAGGCCTTTCAAGCCAGTTCAACACTATTTTTCATATCAAGCTAAGCATATTTTTACTTTAGAACTATATTTCTGAAGTTTGTAGAAAAAATTTTGTTTGCAACTCGAGTGCGAAATACTTTGGTCATCTCGATTATTTTTTTAACTCGGCTACGCCTCGTTAAAAAAATCAAATCTCGATCACCAAAGTAGCATTTCGCGCTCTAGATACAAAAATAACTATTTCCTACAAACGTCAAAAAATGACAAGGTTCGCGCATTGATAACAAATTGCGAAGTGACACTTTTTTTCAGTTTCCTACGTTACCATGATACCTTGCACAAACAATGCGCGAAGTAAAACAGTGCGCGAAGTACCTACTTCGCGCATTGTTATGTAAAATATATGAGATATTTATATTTCAACTTCATGGTCCTCAATCGAGCAAACATCCACGAAATTATTTATTTCTGAATGTTCAACAATATCTTTGTTTCATCTCTTGGAGCGCACGAAAGGAAATTCCTATTAGGTTCGTGGAACATCGTGGGTACTTAGGGAGGATAGGAGGAGGCCTTTTAAGCCAGTTCAACACTATTTTTTATATCAAGCTGAGCATATTTTTACTTTGGAACTATATTTTTTCACGTTTGTAGAAAAAATGTTGTTTGCAACTCGTGCGCGAAATACTTTGGTCATCTCGACTATTTTTTTAACTCGGCTACGCCTCGTTAAAAAATTCAGATCTCGATCACCAAAGTAGCATTTTGCGCTCTAGATACAAAAATAACTATAAATTGCTTTTACTCGATAATAATACATCTCATCGTTACGGAACAAGAGTACCTTTTTTACCAGTAAAAAGGTGTGAAATTTCATAATCCAAGATTAAATTGTCGAAAAATAGGCATACAAAAAATTTTGAGCAATATTTGAAGTGTATTATATATACACTCCTGATAGAAATTTTGGAATGATTTCATTTTCACTGCATTGGGCATGAAAATTTCAGTTCTTGTACCAAATTGCATCTTTTTATTACATGGAATTTCGGAAATACTCAAGAAATATCATCTTCAGGAGCCCCCTTTCGGGGGTCCATAGCTTCCTTAGGGGACATTTCTCGACTCATGTTCATTCAAAGTTTTATTT